GTGGGTGCTCGGTGCCGACTTTAATCTGGGGCCTGCCGAGCTCGAGTCGTCCAGTTTTGTGTCGGAGTTGAGGGCGTCCCTCATCTTCCCCGTTGTCGCTACGCACTATCCTGTGGGCCCTCCCACGACGTTCGACTACTTCGTTTGTTCGGGCGGTCTTGCGAAGGGTCTCAAGTCGGTCGATACGCGATTGGATACGGAGCTCTCCCCCCATAGGCCCGTCCAGTTGATGTTCCACCCCAAGCTGGCGGTGCCTCACGCACTCTCGTTCAGGAAGCCCCCCCCCCCCCTGCCGTGTCAGGCTGTCTTCGGCCCTGCCCCCAGAGAAAGTTGTTGGGCTGGGGAACTTGCGCTGGCGTCCGAGGCTGAACGTTGTCTCCAGAATGGGGACGGGCAGGGGGCCAAACGTCTTCTGGGCCCTCTCTACAGGAAGTGGGCCGACCACGCTGAACGTGACCTTATTCCCCTGGTAGGTGTTGCCCCCCAAAAAAAAAGTTAGGCCCCAGGGGTTTGGGCCCGCAACTTGTGTGGAAACCTATCTTGGGCCAGGATGGTAAGGTGCGTTATCCTGGTCATCGCGCGATCCGTTGGCTTGGGCAACAGCTTCGCGCCTTCATGCACGCTAGGCGCGGAGGCGCTGCCGCCGCTGCTGCCGGGCTCAGTTGCGCGTTGGTGGAGCCCCCGCCCAGCATCTCGGCCGCCGTGGAAGACTACGAGCCGCTGTTCAAGCGAACGGCTCAGGAGGTCTCCGCCCTAGGCTCTGGTGGGGACGTTGAGTCGCTCGCTGATCTGTACACTCAGGTTCACGAGGCCGTCAAGGCCGCCAGCACCAAGTACGCCGCCAAGAGCCGATCAGACTGGGCTGCTTGGCTGCATGTAGGCATCAATAAGGGGGCGAAAAGGGTTCATCAATTCATTGAAGATCCTGTTCCGTGGGTCCCTCTTCGACTCTCTCAGCTGCTGGGTGCGTCGTCAGTGATCCTCTCTCTTTGCTCAAGGCGGAGGGAGAGAGGTTCAGCAGTATATGGGGTGAGGGTCGCGGTGCCGAGTTTGATGGTCAGGTCATCGAGCCTCCTCCCCGACCCACGGCCAGCGAAATCCGTGATATCGCTAAGTCCTACAAAGATTCTTCGGCCGTGGCTGTGGACGGATTGCGCCGCGAGCATTTCTCTCTGTTGCCAGATGCTGCTCTTGACTGCCTCTGTGCCATTTTTTCGGTCATGGAAGCGCTTGGCTGCCTTCCTCCGCAGATCTCTGTCGTCACTTTGGCTCTTCTGCCGAAGCCTACTGGTGGCTACAGGCCGATTGGGGTGCTCTGCTCCTGGTTCAGGGTTTGGGGCCGCTGTCGGCGGCCCTTTGCCCTGCACTGGGAGCAAGAACACCCCGAACGGTACTGGGCTGCTGGTAGGTTTCGTGGAGCTGCCGATGTGGTTTGGCGTCGAGCTGTCACCGCCGAGACGGGTCTTGCCATCGGGGAGTCCCCTTGTTCTGTTCTCTTCGATTTTCGCAAGTTCTATGAGAACACCAGTCTGAAAGAGCTCGAGATCCGTTGCAAGAAACATGGATTCCCTCTCGCGATAGCCCGTCTTTGCATTTATGCCTACAGGTGTGGGCGCTTTCTCTGTCTAGGAGGGTGGCTGGAAGGCCCCTACTTCTGCCTGAATGGGGTCATCGCATGATGCTCGATGGCCACCGCGTTCATTCGTGTCTTCTGCCAGGACGGATACGATTCCCTTCCCTCCATCCCCAGGCTCGACCTCGATGTGTATATTGACGACCAGGGTCTCTCGTGTACGGGCCAACATCGGACCGTGGTCAAATCGATCATCGAAGGGGCCAAGGCGCTCCACGCCATCGTTGAGTCTTGTTTCGGTTGCTCCCTCGCCCTGGACAAGACCGCTGTTGTTGCTTCCTCGAAGGCCTTAGGGGATGAGGTTTCTTTTGAGATTTCGCATTTAGGAAGTAAGTTTACGTCGAGTGCTGTCAACTTAGGCGTTGACTACACGGCTGGCCGCGCGCTTAGGGTGGCGGGGCGCTCGGTGAAGTCAAAAATGCGCATCGCCAAGGCTGCGAGGGCGGCCAAGAGATTAAAGCGTCAGAATAAAGTCATCTCTCGGCCGCAGGTTCTCAGGGTGTTTTCCTCGGGGCCCCTCTCGGGGGCTTCGTATGGCACTGAAATTACTGGCACTAGCGACCTTGAGTTGCTTCGCCTCCGTCGTCAAGTTTTCTCGGTGGTCCGACCTCGATCTCAGTTGAGATCTCTGACGACGGCGGCTTTGCTCGATTGTGATCCGTGCTGGCGCACTGCCGCCGCCCCCATCCTCCGTTGGTCCAAGCAGATCTGGCTGGCCCAGACTGGGGCCTACTCTTGGGGTTTGGGTTTTCCCTCGCTGCGTCGTGCGTGGGAAGCTGTGTTCTCCAACCCTGCCTGCTCCTGGAGAGCGGTCGCGGGCCCCGTGTCGGCCCTTCGGATGTCCCTGGTTAGGCTGGGCTGGTGCATGGACAACTTCATGACGGTGCGAGATGACCGTGGCTTCTCTGTCCCCCTCGGCATTATCTCGCCTGCCCTGTTCAGGATCATGCTCAAGGACGGTTATTTTAGGATGTTGGAGCGCCTCTCCGCCGAAAAGAGGGGCGTGCTCCCTAGGATATGCTATGATGTGCTGCTCGAGGCCCTGGCCTCCAAGAAATACACGGCTCTCCAGAAGGCCCACATTAGAGCGTTCGCCACCGAAGCTTTTTTCACTGGAGATCGTGCTGTGAGCTTAGGCTACGTCGTGGACGGCACTTGCCCGTTCTGCGGCGCCTCGGACACGATCTTCCACCGGTTGTGGGAGTGCCCCCACGAGCCAGTGGCTGAGCTTAGGTCATCTCTAGTGGACGCTAGCACTGTAGCCGAAGCCTTAGCAGCTAAGGACGACGAGGAAGCTGTGTTCGTGTTTATATCTGGGGCTTTCCGCCACCCCGCCGACGGGTACCCCAGGCCCCTCACTGAGACGGAACATGGCCCGTTTCTTGCGTGGCACCACCAAGATATCTCGTCGCCCTCTGGGGCTACTCCTGGCATTGAAGTTTGGGGTAACGTTTTCATCGATGGCTCTAGCAGCCGTCACACTGTTCGGGAGCTCTCTCGGGCTGGCAGCAGTGTGGTGATGGTCGACGACCAAGGGTCGGCCGTCGCCGAGTTTCGGGCCCCCGTGTGGGCCCCTTATCCTCAGACGCCTCAATCGGCCGAGTTCAGCTGCTGGACTTGGGCCAATGTGCTCGCGTCGGCCTGCATCGATGTGTTCTCTGACTGCAGCAATGTGGTCAAATTGGCCTGTCGGCCCAAGGCCGAGCAGCTGTGTGGGAAGAGGGCTTACTCAGGTGCTTTCCTCCAACTCTATGCCCAAGGTATCACGCCCTCCACGTGCACTAAAGTCGCAGCTCACAAGGAGCTGGATGAGGCGGGTATCGACGCTGCCGAGCGCTGGAGGCGCCTCGGCAACCATCACGCTGACGCGGCAGCCAAGCATGCCGTGCATCTACATCCTTCGTGTCCTGTCAAGCTAGCGGCTGCCGACAAGCTTGTCACGCAGGCGCGCCAGACAATTAGGCTGGCGGCCCATGTAATGCATGTGTGGCCTACCTTGGACCTCTCCGAGGCAGGCCGAATTCCAGCCCCGCCAGCCGCTGCTGCAACGTCCGCTGGTCATCGCTGAGAAATGTGGTCTGGAGCGTGGCGCTGTGCAGTTTGCCTCAGAGGCAAGCGATCTCAGAGTAGGCTCCCGCCAGGTGCCTGCTCTCAGGTTTCTCGGCTTCACGCGTCCAGTCAGGACGCCCTCGAGCACCGTACGATAGCGTTCGATTGCTCCGATGGCTCGGTTTTATGTATTTGCACTAGGTGCAAAGCGCATTCCAGTGGAGCCTCTGTCCGCGGGTTAGCCGCCAAGTGCCAGCCGCCTCCGTCGCGCGCAGCGAAGTGCGGCTGGGAAGCCCTGTGCAAAGGCAAACACCCGCATTATAGGCAGCAGAAAGCGGGTGTAACGGATGATGTCGGCAATCTGATGCAGTGCTTCAACACGTATGCCTAATCTTGTTTCTAAGGCCTGCTGCACCGCCTCGTTGCAGCTGGCGTCAGATCCTTTTAAGGACTCAGAGGAGAGCGTGGAGCTCAAAAAAAAATCCTCCTCCTCCCTCTCCTTATCCTCCTCCTCCTCCTCCTCATCCCCCTCCCCTCCTCTTCCTCGGGTCGCCTGCGGCCCCGGGGGAAACCGTGCAGCGTGGAGGAGGACTAGGGCATCGATCCGTCAGTGCGGCCGTGACCAATTAGTCTGTAAGGAGGGCGATGATGACGATGGTAATCATTATGATAGTGATCATAATGATGATGATGATGATGATGATGATGATGAGGATGAGGATGATATGATGATGATGATGATGATGCTGCTGATGATGATGATGATGCTGCTGATGATGATGATGATGATACTGATGATGATGTTGTTGTTGGTGGTAAGGGTGGTGATGGTGATGATGATGCTGTTGATGATGATGGTGATGGTGATGGTGATGCGGATGGTGATGGCGATGGTAAGGAAGAGGGAGACGAAGACAGATAAGACGAGAGGGATCGACGGCGGTAGGGATGACGGGAGGAGATGTAATGCGAGGGCGATGTGGACGTCGACGACGTGGACGGCGACCACCGACCACGACGAGCACAACCACCTTGACGACGACGACGACCATGACGAACGACAGGGGCCACAACGAAAACATCGACCGCGGCGACGACGGCCACAGCGACCACGACCACGACCACGATGACGGCCACAGTGTCACCACGACGACCACGGGGATTACCACCGCCAAAAAAAAACACAGCGACCTTTGCGACGACCACGACGAAGGACGACGACGACGAAGTTTATCACGACCAGGATCGTGACGACGACCGCGGTCATGACGGCCGCGACGTCCACGGCGCCCCGTGGCGACGCCTGCGCTCGCGCCAGGACCGGGGCACCAGGTTGCGCCAGATGTCTCAGGACCCCGGGCCCGCGCGCCCGAGGCGGCTCCGGGGGGCTCCAGGGGTTGCCCCCTCCTCCTCCTGCTCCTCCGCCCTTCTCCTCCTCCTCCTCCTCCTCCTCGAGATTCTTGTTCGGGAATTGCCCGTGGCACCCCCTGCTTCTTGCTCCACTTCTCGGCAGCGAGCCCTCGGGGGAAGCGAGAAGGGGCGGGCCCCTCTCAAGGCTCGCAAGGCCTCTGGGCATCCGAGCTCCAAGCCTTTCCCCGAAGGCACATGGGACTTCTCAGAAGGCGCGAGGGCTTCTGCTGTAGACGCGCTCACGGCGATGTAGGTAACGGCAAGGCAGTTCTCGGTGTCGTGGCCGACGACGCCGACGCCGACGCCGACGCCGCCAACGCTGACGACACTGCCGCTGCCGCCGCCGCCGACGACGACGTCGACGACGACGAAGATGTCGACGAGGACGACGACGACGCCGCCGACGCCGGCGCCTCACGACGACGACGCCAAAAGCGAGGACGACGACGCCGTCGACGACGGCGACGCCGACGACGACGACGCAACGACGACGCCGACGCCGCCGGCGCCGACGCAGGCGCCGACGACGCCGACGACGAACCCGACGCTGACGCCGACGCCGGCGCCGACGCCGACGCCTGTGCCGACGCCGACGCCGACGCCGACGCCGCCGCCGACGACGCCGACGTCGACGCCGCCGCTGCCAAAGCCGCCGCCGCCGACGACGACGATCACTTCGACGAGGAGGACGGCGACGCCGACGCGCAAACGCCGAAACCGACGACGACGACGCCAAAAGCGAGGACGACGAGGACCATGCCGCCGACACCGACGCTGACGCCAACGCAACCGCCGCCGTCGACGACGACGACGGCGACGCGACGACGACGCCGACGACGACGCCGCCGACGACGACGACGCCGCCGCCGCTGAAGCCGACGCCGACGCCGACGACGACGCCGACGCCGACGCCGCCGCCGACGTGGACGCCGACGCCGACGACGACGACGCCGCTGCAGCCGCCACCGCCGCCGCCAACGCTGACGCCGACGACGAGGCCGCCGCCGCCGACGACGATGACGACGGCGACGACGACGCCGACGCTGATGCGCCGACGACGACGCCACGACGCTGCCGACGACGACGGCGACGCCACGACGGCGATGCCCGACGGCGACGACGACGACGCCACGACGATGCCGACGATGCCGACGACGATGACGCCGACGCCGACGACGATGCCGACGCCGACGCCAATGCCGACGACGCCGCCGTGGACGCCGACGCAGGCGACGACGACGACGACGACGACGACGACGACGGTGCCGATGTCATCGGCGAGGACGGCGAGGACGACGCCGTCGACGCCGACGACGCCGACGCCGACGCTGACGACGCCGACGTCGACGCCGACGCCGACGCTGACGACGACGCCGCTGCCACCGCTGCCGCTGCCACCGCCGACGACGACGACGTCGACGTGGACGACGACGACGCCGCTGCCGCCGCCGACGACGACGCCAACGGCGAGGACGCCGAGGCCGCCGCCGACCACGACGACGCCGACGCCGACGCCAACGACGGCGACGACGCCGACGCCGACGTCGACGCCGACGCCGATAACGTTGCCGCCGCTGCCGCCGCCGCCGCCGCCGACGACGACGACGACCTCGCCGACGCCGACGTCAACGACGCCGACGACGACGACGCCGACGCCGACGACGAAGCCGAATCCGACGCCGCTGCCGTCGCTGCCACCGCCGCCGACGACGCCGCCGACGTCGACGAGGACGCCGCTGCCGCCAGCGCCGCTGCCGCCAGCGCCGCTGCCGCCGCTGACGACGACGACGCCAACAGCGAGGACGACGAGGACGACGCTGGCGACGACCACGCCGACGCCGACTCCGACGACGCCTCCGACGCCGACGCCGACGACGACGCCAACAGCGAGGACGACGAGGCCGCCGCCGACGACGCCGGCTGCCGCCGCCGACGACGACAACGACGCCGACGCCGATGCCGCCACCGCCGTCGACGACGACCTCGACGCGACGACGACGACGACGACGACGACGACGACGGCGTCGACGCCGACGACGCGAACGCCGACGCCGACGCGGACGCCGACGCCGCTGCCGCCGCCGACGACGACGACGTCGACGTGGACGACGACGCCGACGACGCCGATGCCGATTTCGACGCCAACGGCGAGGACGCCGAGGCCGCCACCGACGACGACGACGCCGACGCCGACGCCAACGACGCCGACGACTACGTTGACGATACCGACGCCGACGCCGACGCCGACGCCCCTGCCGCCTCTGCCGCCGCCAGCAGCGACGACGGCGACGACGACAACGAGGACGCCACTGCCGCCGCCGACGACGACGACGCCCACAGCGAGGACGACTCCGACGACGCCGCCGACGACCACGCCCACGTCACTTCGACGACGCCGCCCACGACAACGACGAGGACGACGACGACGACGCACCGGCGCCGACGCCGACGACGACGACGCCAACAGCGAGGACGACGAGGCCGCCGCCGACGACACCGCCGCCGACGACGATGACGACGATGACGACGCCGCCGCCGCCGACGACGACGACGACGCCGGCGACGCGATGACGACGACACGACGACGTCGTCGACGACGCCGACGACGCGATCACGACGACGACGCCGTCGCTGACGAGGACGACGCTGCCACCGCCGCCGCTGCCGCCGCCGACGTCACCGACGTCGACGTGGACGACGACGCCGCCAACGGCGAGGACGCCGAGGCCAACGGCGAGGACGCCGAGGCCGCCGCCGACGACGACGCCGACGCCGACGCCAACGACGCCGACGACGACGCCGACGACGCCGCTGCCGCTGCTACCGCCGCCGACGACGACGACCACGACGTCGACGAGAACGCCGCTGCCGCCGGCGCCGCTGCCGCCGCCGACGACGACGCCAAAAGCGAAGACCACGAGGACGACGCCGCCGACGACCACGCCCACGCCGACTTCGACGACGCCGCCGACGACGAGGACGACTACGGCAACGACGACGACGACGCAGCCGCTGCCGCCGCCGCCGCCGACGACGCTGATGCCGACGCCGACGCTGACGCCGCCGGCGCCGCTGCCGCCGTCGACGACGACGACGACGACGACGATGACGGCGATGGCGATGCGACGACAACGACGACGACGACGACGACGACGTCGATGGCGCCGACGCCGACGACGCCGACGCCGACGCCGAGGCCGCCGCCGCCGACCACGACAACGACGCCGACGCTGAGGACGACGACGCCGCTGCCGCCGCCGCCGCTGACGACGACGACGACGACGACGTCGACGTGGACGCCGCCGACGCCGACGCCGACGACGACGCCAACGGCGAGGACGCCGAGGCCGCCGCCGACGACAACGACGCCGCCGCCGACCTCGACGCCAACGACGCCGACGACGACGACGACGCCAAAAGCGAGGATGATGAGGACGACGCCGCCGACGCGGACGCCCACGTCACTCCGACGACGCCGCTGACGATAACGACGAGGACGACCACGACATCGACGACGACGCCGCCGACGCCGACGCCGACGACGACGACGCCAACAGCGAGGACGACGAGGCCGCCACCGCCGACGACACCGCAGCCGCCGCCGCCGACGACGACGACGCCGACGCCGACGCCGGCGCCGCTGACGACGACGACGACGACGCGTCGACGACGACGACGACGACGACGACGACGGCGACGACGATGACGACGACGGCGACGACGACGAGGAGGACGGGTTTGGGTTTCCAGCCCTTTCCGAGTCTTCGACGGGGCACATCCTCCCCGCCCCCCTCTTTTTGCGGCGGGCCGCCCGTAGGTGGCAGTACGGAGGGGGCGGGCCCCCCCCTTCGGCGGGCTCAGCAGGCCACCAGCCTCCAGAGGGGCTCCCTGGGCCTCCTCCTCCTTCTCCTCCTCCTCCTCCTTCTCCTCCTTCTCCCCCTCCTCCTCCTCCACCTCCGGCAGGCTCAGCTTCCCGGCCTCCGAAGGGGTTCCCTGGGCCTCCCCCGAAGCCGCAGAGGGCTTCTCAGAAGACCATGGGGCCTCTGAGGGGCCCTGCCGCCTCTGGCGGCCTCGCGCAGACGGGGGGGGGGCAGAGTTAAGTCGGGCGTGTCCCTCTACAGGGGGAATATTCAAAACTAGTACAACAAATAGGAGAACAATGTTTCGCCCAAAATCCCCCTGTAGGGGGACACGCCCGACTTAAGGGTAGGGGGAGGGAGGCAGGCTTCCCAGAAACGCCCCTGCCTCTTAGAAGGCGCGGGCCTCACCTGTAGATGTCAGGCGGGCCCCTTCTAGGAAGCAGCCTCCTTCCCCCCTTCCCCTGCCCCCGTCCGCGCGACGCCAACTCTGAGAAGGCCCGCCCCCTTACCCTCGGCGCGCCGCCGATTCCTTGTCGACAACTTCTCGTCGCACCGCCAGGCGTGTCGGCAGGGCGGTCTGGTCGTCTCCTCCGAGGTGGCCCCGCCGCGGCTGGCCCCAAGGCCCGACATAAATAGCGGGAGCCGCTGCGCCGCGAGAAGGCTGCCTTCTGCCGACATGCAGCTCTCGCCTCAGCGCCTCGCAGATCTGTTTCAGAAACTTCCGACAGACATGACCCACTTTTTTTCAGGTTCGCTGCTTCTCTTGGCTGGTGCTAGCTTTCGCCGCAATCAGCGGCTCATCAGGCTTGAGCCTAAATTGGCTCTGGATTCGCACTCTACCTGCAAGGAGGAAAGACTGGTCTACTCTGTAAGAACGGTTTTTTGAAGGCAGATCTGCCTTCAAAAAACCGTTCTTACAGGGTTGAGCTGGAGGGCGCCTGAGTGGCTCCCCCCCTCGAATTGCAGCTCTCGCTTTCGCGCTGCACGCGCTTGTTTGGGAGCGTCTGGCAGCGTCAAGGATGGAGGGCAGCTGTCCCACATATGAGAC